TTATTTTAGTGATGCAGATAGAATTTAGGGTTACTGCTCTGGAATATTAAGTTTCAAAGATCTAACAATGAACTTCAAAACTCTTTTCATAGCTTAAGATAGGAGATCCTTATTATTTTAGATATTAATAAATCAGGCTTGGTTACCTCAACTTCTGGTTTGATTAGCTACATAAAATCAATTGATAAGGAAATATTTTCACTGGCATCCACATAGATCATCGATTTACAACAGGACAAAAACAACAACCACTTTTAAAATAATAATGATACAAGGAATATAAGAAAGACATACTAAGTCACATTGAAATCCATCATAAATTAGAAGCGTATCTTATTTGGATACTAAGGCAGGAAAATAATGGGTGTGCTTTACATCACTACGTTAAACATGTTTTTTAAAACGCTACCTACCCTAAAGATCAGGGACTGTATTACACACGAAGCCTCAACGTTACATTGTTTTCCTATATAATCTTGAAAGAATATGTTATGTCTGACTGTGTGTGTGTGTGTGTGTGTGTGTGTGTGTGTGTAGGACGCAGGACTTCAAGTTACACAGAACTGAGTTTAAAATTTAATTTAATTACTGGCTGTCTTAAGAGCAAGTGGTTTAACATCTCTCAGTTTCCTCATCTATGAAAGGAGCACAGTAATCCTGGCTTCTCATTGGGTTCTTGCAGGGATGAAAAAAAAAAAAAAACACCAACTATATGGTGTAAGAGCACATTCATGAAGAAGCATAGTGCCATGCTCACACCCACACTCTTATTTTACCCAACAACTTGCCAAGGGCCACAAGAGAAACCAGGCAAAAGAGAATGATCAATAATCCCAAATTTAGCTCCAAAAATCAAAAAGCATTCAGAGGGCACATGCACATACAAAAAGGAGCACACAAACCCTGATACTCTATTATGCAGTGCAAATGACAGAAAGACAGCGGTGAGACCAATGTTATTTCCAATAAAGGATTTGCAGGGCCATAGAGAATTAGCAAATCAAAACTTGCTTTTTAGAATAACAAATAAAGGCACAATTAGAAAGCTCCTTAACTTGGCCTTCAAGTTTTTTTTGTTGTTTTTTTTTGGGGGGCTATACAATGAGGGCAATGGACAGTAACTACATTTCTAAGGGGTTTCTAGCCCCAAAATTCTATTAAATTATTCTGCCCTTTCCAAAAAGCCAGAGAATCCTTATGAATTACACTGCAATCCGCAATTGGAAGGCTCTCAACAAATAACTTGAAAGGGAGATCAAGTTTTTTGTTTTTTGTTTTTTTTAAATATCATTACCAGGAAGTCAAACTGATACAGATGGAAATTAACCCAGGATGCTCACTATTTGAATTTTTCTCTACCATACAAAACTACCCACTGGATCGATGTTTGTTTTTTTTTTTTTTTTGTCAATGCATTTATTAATTAGTGTGCCATTTTTAGTGTCACGTAGTTATAGGTTAGCAAACTCATATAAGTATCAAGACATGTCTTGCTTCGACCAAAAATGACCCACAATGGAGATGTGTTTTAACTGTTTTTAATTGTTCAAACACCCGTTCATTTGGCAATCTTTAACAACTGCTGAACACCTTAGTAAAACTAAACAGTTACAGGGGGGAAAAAAGCTCAACTTCTAAATGGAGGGAGGAAGATGGAGTATCTGTCATAGACTGGCTGTAAATACATGGAACAGATGTGACCAGGGCTGATCTAGCAAGTCCTTTAGAATACATTGTTTTAGTGGCCCAACCTTAAAACTACTTGTACTTTTTAAAAAGAAGTCAATGCTCACATGTTTATCTTCTGCTCACAAAAAACTCAGAGGTAACAAAATAAACTACTTTTGCTATATTAGAAAACGAAGTTCCTCCTCATCACTAAAATTTAGATGCATTTTTTTTCCTTTGGGTAACTCTGCCATCCTGCTTTTTAATGAGGATAATTTTCCAATCATCCAGGCATGTGGATGCTTTTAGTTTGTTTTAAGATCAGTGGTATAACGGATATTAAATCCCTTTGTTTAAGTTACCATATAGGTTACAACTATTTCTTAAAAATAATTCCAGAGCGCACCAATTTTCCCTGTTAAGGTCATCGAAGCTCTGAACCATCATGGCTGAATTGTTTTAGTGCTTTCTGCTGAACACCTGCAAACATCAAACAAAAACTGCTAGTCCTTTCCTGGGTTGACAAAAGCCTTTCATGTGAAAAATGCTCCCTGGGAATGTCAGGCTGTAGCTCAGGTTACATTCCATTCTCTGGAGCAGCCTCACCATTTCTTAAGGTGGTAGGAAAAGCCATGTTTGTGAAATGAAAGATTAAAGGGAATATGCCCACACTTTATTTTCATTCTCACATTGCAAATCACGATGGAGCATCCTGTATTAATGGAATCAAAAGCTATTGGGAACTTTAACCATGAAAGATTACCAAGCCTCACTTTGAAAAAATAGAGCCAATTTTTCAAATAGGAACAGTTTACTTATAGTTTAGATCTATTTTCCCCCCTGGATCCAAGCTTCAAAGCAACCCATGAAAGTGACATCTGAGTCTACTCAGGACAATGGATATTAACTTGAAGTAAATTTAGAAAATTATTTCTCTCGCCAAAGTTTCCTAGTCCATCCTTCCCATTAAAGAGCAAAGTGCAGCTTTCATGATTTTATTTGTTATGCTTTTTAAAAGATTCACCCTTTTTTTAAGTGAAAATATAATCCATTTTCTTAACTAACAGCCCTGTGTTCAAATATGTCTTAATAGATAGGATGAAACTAACACTCCAATTTGTCCCCTATATATAATAGTCGCCATCATACTGCATGAAATGAATACCCTGCATTGTCAATCAGGCAGCCAGAATAAAAGAGACTCTGCACTTTTTACCCTTACAAGTACACAGTTGGTCCTGAAAACGACACCTCGGGTACAATGTAACTTAAAGTTCGACACCATAAAAATAATCATTGCAAATGCATAGAAATACTGTAACATGACTCACTCAGAGTAAAGTCTGCTTCTAGGTTTATGTATGCATGAACACACACATATATATACATACACATATATGTCTTATACATACACACACACATATATATAAGTCTTAGGAACTGTGTAAGTGTTGATACATGATCATTTACCAAAATGCATTAATGCATATTCAACTTATCCAGCCTGTACTATCTATAAAGACTTAAATATAATGGCAGGGACTTTACTTAAATGTGAACATAGAAAATGGATCAGACACACAGTTGTCTTTCTAAATGTAACACAATTCCATACTTCTAAATCACCTTACTTTCTTAAGCTACATCTAAACTAATATACTTAAGTTATTCCAAAAGCATCCATTTTTACAACAGTGCAAACTAGTATTTTGCACTGACTTTGAAAACAGTTTATCTCTGTGCCTGACATAATCTACTTTTAGATTTAAACTGAATACACATTTCTTAGGTAGTCAAGAAAAAAAACTACTGTCAGAGATAAAGTTAGCTACTGTTTTGATAGTGTCTAACATGAAACGTTCATTTGCCTACAAAAGACACTTGTCCACATCTTTACTTCAAACATGCATATTAATATTTTTTATCTTGAAAATTGTATAGAGAATATCATACAGAAGCCAGAAGATATAATACAAAAAATAAATTCGAAGTCCCTAGATGGAAAATGTAGCAGGGTCCAAGATAGTAAAATACAAACACATTGTCAATAGTACTTTTAATCAAAGTAGAACAAAAAATAAAATATCACTACAGGAGGTAGCTCATATTTTGTAAACCAAGCTATAGGAACAAAAATTCCCTAAACTTATGGAGGCCAGTAGAAGAAGTAACTTATTTGGAAATAAGCAACTTGTGAAAGCCACTGATTTCACAAAAAATATACCAATTACACAGATCTCACAGGTGAAGAGATTTCTGTCACTGCAACATCACCAAATGAATGTTAAGGAATATGAAATTACATTCATGGCTGACAGACAATTCCACTGGCATCTCACAGCTAAAAGATGTCAACATTTACCGGTCTGACTTAAGGACAGAACTCTGCCTAATGTCCTGTTATGTACCATTGCCAGAACTCCTAAAATACTGCAGCTGTTTAACAAGCCTAAATGGATTTGAGCCTTGGACATAAAGGATGGCAGGCAACAACATATGACTTTCTAATTTGAAATTCACTGGACAGGAAAATATACATTTTAAATTAATATTGTTTTCAGTCTTCACTTTTAATAAGAGACGTTCCAACAGTCCTGTACTCAAACTCCTCCTCAGATGCCAGATAATCACTGTGCACAGATTCCTTTGTGAATAGCGCTAACGTTTTTTTAAAGCATAACCCAAAGATCTTTCATTTACAAAATGCAAAAGTCCTTCCAAATTTACAACTTTAAATGCGCAAAAATTCATTGCACAAACGCATGATTAGGGAAAAGAAAGACCTAAAGCACAAAAAAGGATATTTTAAATATAAATGAATCCATATTTAGCCTCTCAGATGAGCAAGAGGCTATTTACAGCTATGGTTTACTCCGTGGCATTCATCTGCAAGATTAAGTACTCATTTCTTTAAAAGGGTTAATTGTGCACAGAACCTAATAACTGATATTATTTACAAGGGATTTTCCCTTGTATGAATGTTAGATTTTTTTTCCCCCTATTTTCAAATAGGAAACATTAATTTATTCCCCATGTTAATACTGGCCTTATCTTCATGTGTTTCATTACAACTGTATTAGAAAATTGCTTTTAAATTAAGTGATGGAATCTTGAGACAGTTTCCTTGATTTCCAAAAAAAAAAGACCTAATTTTAATTGCAAAAGATAACATTTGTGGAAGTTATACCTCCAATGGGTAATGAAATAACTGTATGATTACAGACTGAATTTCAATGACTTTTTCAGAACACTTCAAGAGAGCCAAAAATATACAATGAGTAAATAAACAGCTAAGAACATTCAACTTCATACCAAGCAAAGAATGTACATACTTGAGCCAGTAAAATGTCCACTCGCCAAAGAAGTTGGTCCATTTTTTCCACTGCTCACAGGAGGTGAAAACATCTAAAAGAAACAAAGAAATATCACAGTTGAAAAGAAGACGATTGTGCCCTCAGAGTCCGTCAAAGATCTTTCATACTCTTACCAAACCACTCAGAGTTTATGCTAAGGGTTTATCAATAAAAATACATTACCATTCAACTTAAAACTAAAACAGGCATATTCAACCCACCCGACCCCCCATTCTCACTGTTTTCTTTTTCCTCAGGTTCATTAGACTGTCAAGCAGAACTACCACATTTTGAACAAACACAGTCCCCATCATGTTAGCAAGATTCAGTGTGGAGGGCAGCAGCCTCTCCAGAAAACACTAGTATCACAAAGGAGAAGAAAAAAGTTTTTGTTTTATATTGTAAACCTTGGCCATAAACGTGGCAATGTCCATTTCCATCCCGTATAGGATTTGCCTGTCATATGTGAACCCAAATAAAAATAAAAGTGCCACCTGCACTAAATTCTCATTTCGTCTCTAACATGAGAGCAATTTGAAGCAAGACTCTATCTCTTTCTCTCTCTCTCTCTCTCTCTCTCACACACACACACACACACACACTCTCTCTCTCTCTCTCTCTCACTCTCTCTCTCTCTCTCTCTCACTCTTTCACTCCCTCTCCAGCATTTATTTCGACCCTAATTGGTTTCCCTCTTCTTCGACGTTATCTAGTGGCTAATGCACACCTTCCCTGAGTCAGAGCCTGCAAAAAGCAAAGAAACGAATGGACAAAGTGCAGCAAGCAGAGAGGGGGCTGCAAAGCTGCCTAGGGCCACACTTCCTGGCAAAACTTCCGAGAGCCATTTCTCCAAAAGGTCTAGAAGAGAGCAGGAACAAACAGCAGCAGCGGCAGCAGCGGCATGAAAGAGCCCCACTCAGAAGGCGGTTGGATTTTACGTGTGTGTGTCGTGGAGTCTTTTTATTTTGCTTTACAAATGCATCTTACAACAAACTCATCTGGCATCAAAAATCAACTCGTTCCCCTGACGGGGGGGAACTCGGTCTGGGGAAGGGAAGCACAGGCATGGAGAAGGACCAGGGACAGCCGGAGCACTCCACAAGTGTGTAGGCTCCGCTCGGTGCTCGTCTCACGACTGTGAGATGTGCCACAGCCCGGAGGGTTGCAAAGAACGAGTGCTGGGTACACACACAGGCTGTGGTCAGAATCCCAGGGAAGGATGGAACCGGGGGGAAGCAGTAAGGAACAGGTCCTACTCGTGCAAAGCGTAGCCCGTTTGAAACTTCAAAGAGACAACTGGGTCGCCAGTTTTGTTTCCACTTCCAGAAAACAAAAATAAAGGGACGCGCAGGGCACAAAAGTATCCGGTACTCTCAGTGTGCAGATATGGCCAAGTTTCAGGGGGCGGTTTACCGTTTTGGGGGTGTCTGGTTTATTCTTTCCGCTGGGGTGAGATTCCATTATTCGGGGGAAATCCGTGGGTAGGGAATTCAAGGCAAGTAATTAAAAAAAAAAAAAAGTCTGAATCTTCCATCACACCCCCGAAATTACAGTTAAAAACTTGCCAAAAAGACCTTCGTATTTACCAAGGGCTCAGCCAATTAAAAATTATGTCTGCCCTTCCGATCACTACCGGCTTCTAGCTGAAATGTTTGGGTTCCTGTTTTGTTTTGTTTTGTTTCACAGCTGTTGTTAGTTTCCACCGTTCTTTCTTACCGCACTGAAATCCAGTAAATCACTCAGCTCTTTGTCCGTCCCTAAGGCAGCCATTCGCTGTTGGTGATGCATTTTAGCAAAATCACACAAACCTAGAAACATGGAAATAACCGCAATCAGAAAATCCAGTCCCAATCCTTGGAGAAAACACAATCGGATTTTTGGAGACTGGGGGGTTGGGGGGT